TAGACAACTGCATGTTTTTAAGCTTATTAGATACCTAAAGGTTTTTTCTTTATATAAAAAAAAAGTGTATATAACATTACTAGGTGTAATAACATCTAAAGTTAATCAGCAAAACAATTTCAGTTTTACATTCCACATGTTTTTCAAAGCTCTCTTTCAAATTGCTTAAATCCAGTTTCAAGACACTCAAATAGGTAGCTTAAGTTTTGTGAAATGAAAAAAAACAGCTATTGAAGTGTTAAGACAGTTATGAGAAATTAGAGAAATTAAGTTTTAATTTTTTTACCACTAAAAACAAGAACAGTTTTTTTTTCAAAGAGCTTCTCTTTAAGTCATTAAACACCATAAATAGCTTAATTTTAGCTGCTGTCATTTAATTTTATCCCTAATTTCTGTTTTCTAACTGGCCTACGTGTTGTAACAGACACATCTTTGTATCTTCACCCTTATTAAAGCCTCTCTAAATTACAAGTTATTGAAGTTGGATTATTTAAATGTACAGATTATTCTTTACAATTAAACCAGGTATTACTATAACCCAAACAAATACATGATGTGCAAGTGTCTGAAGTTGTACTTCCGCTATTAGCTTTGTAATATTGACACTGGAGACAGAGACAGGTTAAACTATCAGCCTCTGTTTGACAAACAAACATAGTATCTAAAATAAAGGGGAGAAAATCATAAACCCCCGAGAAACATACTGCTCTGCTCAAAAATGTACATGTCCTAAAACAGATGATGAGGATTTAAACACAAACTGTTAAATTTCACTAACTAGTTGACTTGGCATGAATCTGCTTGTTCAGCACAGGATTTAAGCCTCCTGTTTCTAAACACTCTGAACTCCATTCATCCAACTGTTGAACAAACATCCATACTGAAAGGTAATGCTGCTTTTTGGTTCTGCCCCTTATTTCACCTTCTGTGTTCACTCCTGACATGACTCTGAAATTTCTTTTGACATTTGTTAGCCAGGTCTGTTTTCTAAAGATCCAGAAGGGCTATAAATTTCCTCTGTAACCTTCAAGATCTTCAATTTTCACCTGTTATCAGAAGCAGAAGGGCTGGCTGAACCAGTCTAGTTTGATTTTGGCCAACTGGCAACAGCCAACCAGGGAAGAACATGAAGTCAGTTTGACTGTCTCAGGCAAGGTGTCAACATGCACTTGAAAAGAATAATCATCAACAACATTACCAGCATCATTAATCATTTATAAAGGAGACAAGACAACAGCACACAGGCAAGAACTAAGGATAGAAAAGCAGAGAGAGAATGACTAAGAAGACCAAGTTGCTATGGCAAAGTCTGCACTTTCTACTTTCAATTACAGAGGGTCCAAGTTCACTACTAGAATTATTCTTAAAAGCCTGGAAAAAATAAAGCCTACTGTTATTTACCTTGAAAAGGGTTTACTCTTCTTGTTGTTGCCAAGAATGGTAGTACCTGCTGGTCCCAGCTTGGCACTTTCACGCAACCAGTTGGCAGGTGGAAGTTTCAGGTCTGTCTTCTCCTGAAGACGGGCAAATGCTGCTTGTGGTGGGGCAGATGAGTACTTCACCACAGCACTGCTTTTCACTTCATTGCCTCCAAGGAACAACACCGACCCCTAGTATTCAAAGAGAAATCAGTCCATTATTTCATGGAATGATGGAATGGTTTAGGTTGGAAGGGACCTTAAAACTCATCCAGTTCCAACACTCTGCCATGGGCAGGGACACCTTCCACTAGAGTAGATTGCTCCAAGCCCCTGTGTCCAACCTGGCCTTGAACACTGCCAGGGATGGGGCAGCCACAGCTTCCCTGGGCACCCTGTGCCAGTGCCTCAGCACCCTCAGAGGGAAGAATTTCTTTCTAATGTCTAATCTAAATCTACCCTAATTAAAACTTCCAGACTTGCTCTATAAGCTATTTTTAACTTAGGGAGCAAAGCCCAGTCTTACATTCACTTATAGCTTTCTCCTTCCTATACTTCTGAACATTTCAGTTACACGAATTCCAACACTTGCGTCAAGCATGCGCTCCACTTTGTAAGGCTAAAATGTCATTCGAGGCAGCTCCCACGGAATGCAAAATTACTCAGAAAGTCTGAAACTAAAATAGAATTCCTACTAATGCTGCAAAAGCTTGCGAAAATAAGTGTTCACTAACACCAACACTAAAGCTACACGTTTCTGCTTTAATAATCACAGAATCCCAGCCTGGTTTGGGTTGGAAGGGACCTTAAAGCTCCCTCCAGCTCCAACCCCTGCCACGGGAAGGGACACCTTCCACTAGAGCAGCTTGCTCCAAGCCCCTGTGTCCAACCTGCCCTTGAACACTGCCAGGGATGGGGCAGCCACAGCTTCTCTGGGCACCCTGTGCCAGCGCCTCAGCACCCTCACAGGGAAGCACTATAAATAAATACACCTTATGACTGCATATTTCTTTACAAAACACGCAGCTGCCACACTTGTGTTGAGAGCTTTAAACTGACGCATGTTAAGGGAAAAACAGATCCACAGGACACTGTTTATGTAAATACAACGCAGCACCCTGCACTTAAGCATAACAACAGAAACACCGCTTACAATTAAAGCTTAATCATAATTAGCACACTCCCTACTTCACTCCAGCCCTACAACAGCATTCCCTTACTCACCGAACTGGAAGGTGGATCCACACCTATGAGGCAACCTAAAACGTTACTGTGGGCTGTGTTTGCTGCCTGAAGCCCCACACGGTCCGGGCTGAGGCGGAGGGAGCAGCAACACGGGGCAGCTCCGGGGCGGCCCGAGGGCAACGGTGCCCCTCAGCCGCAGGACCCCCGTACACCCGCGGCTGTGGGGCACTGCGGAGAAGCACGCGGAGGTCCCCCCACCCTCACTGTCACCGCCGGTACCTGCTTGGGCTCCTCCACGTCTCCCCTTAGGGGCGCGGCGGCCGCGGCCCCGCAGACCTCCTCCATGTCCCGCTCCCCTCACGCGGACGCCGGAGGCGCGGCGGGGCCCGGTCAAGCCAGATCTCGCGAGGCTCCTCAAGAAGTCCCGGAAGGGGTTGGTGGGCGGGGAAAACGCGGACTGACCAATAGGAGAGCGCGAGGGGTGGGGAAGGAGCACTCTGGCCAATAGAAGAGCGCTGGGGGTGGGGCTTGCGGGAGGGGCGGGGCTGCGCCTGAGGGGAAGGCGGCAGTGGCGGGCAATGGCGGTGGGCTGTGGGGTCGTTGGGTTTGGGCAGGTTGGTTTTATGTTATGAGGTTCAACAAGGCAAAGTGCCGCGTCATGTATTTGCGCCACAGCAACCCCATGCAACGCTACAGGCTTGGGTGAGCTGCCCATGGAAAAGGACCTTGGGGTTCTGATTGGCGGAGCTGAAGATGAGCAGCTTGTGCCCAGGCAGCCAAGAGGCCACCAGCATCCTGTCCTGTATCAGCACCAGTGCGGCAGCAGGGCCAGGGCAGTGATGATGCCCCTGCACCGGGCACTGGTGAGGCTGCACCTCGAATCCTGTGTTCACCTCTGGGCCCCTCACTACAAGAGGGACATTGAGGTGCTGGAGTGGGGCCAGAGAAGGGCAACGGAGCTGGTGCAGGGTCTGGAGCACAACTGTGATGGGGAATGGCTGAGGGACCTGGGCGGTTTAGTCTGGAGAAGAGAAGGCTCAGGGGTTGATCTAAGGAAAGTAAGTGCCTGGAAAACATAGGGTTAAAATACTTTGAACTTAACTTAGGTCTAAGATAGAGAACAATGTTTCTGGTGTAAGCCTGTGGTGTGATAACGGAATTTAGTAGTCTTATGAGTGAATTATTTCTTTCCATCCTTCTAATGAGTCAGTTATTTCTTACCATCCTTCTAATTATGAGATAGTGAGTCCTGAACATCTGCTACCTTTGGATACTCCTTGTCTGCCCATCCTGTTCTTGTTGAAATAAATTCTGTACGAAGGTCACACTGTCCTAAATCTTTGCCAGCTATCACAAACTTACAGATATGGCTGGTTTCAGCTGGTTTTGTGATTACTGGGGCATCCAACTGTGGAAAAGTGCACTATGAGGAAGACTGCTTACTTCATCTTGAAGACCCCTGCCCACTACCATCAGAGGGCAGTGCACAAGCGCCAAAAGGGAGGAGACTTATGATAATAAGTACCTAAACTAATTATAATACCCCCACCAATCTGTCGGGAACCTAATGAATATGTGTGTTTGTGTGTAATAAATATCTGCTTGCTTAACCACTCAGTGTGCAAGTTAGGAGGAGCGACCCCCCTTGCACCCAGTAATAAACATACCTGCTTTATAACTCTCTCTGAGTTGTAGAGTCTGATTCCGTGCTTCAGGGGCAACTTGTCACTCTCTACAACTGCCTGACAGGAGGATGGAGCCAGGAGAGGACTGGGCTTTCCCAAGGAACAAGGGATGGGACAAGAGGTAATGGCCTCAAGCTGCACCAGGGGAGGTTTAGATGGAGATGAGGAACAATTCCTTCCCCAGAGGGTGCTCAGGCATTGGAACAGGCTGCCCAGGGTAGGGCTGGGGTCACCGTCCCTATAAGCGTTCACACACTGTGTAGACAAGGCCCTCAGTGGGTTAGTGGTGGCCTTGGCAGTGCTGTGGAGCAGTTGGACTTGATGAGTTGAAAGGCCTTTTCCAACCTGGTTGATTCTATGATTCCACAGTTGTAAAAAAAGTTACAAAGCACTACACATAAAAAATATCTGCTACCTCCACTGTAGGGACTATGTCTGTAATAGGGGTGACCTCTCTTCATATATTACCACTGAGATTGTGAAGTGTCATTGGAGTGATTGTGCAGAACTAATTAATATTTAAACAGAACTCTATTTCTCCTCCACTTTAAGACAACATTCAGTGCTTCTACCGACTCGTTTCCCCATTTCTGCAGCAGGCAGGGAAGAGCCTGCCGTCGGTGTTCTGGATCCTGCTGGAACACCCGAATCACCAGTGATGCCGTCAGGGAAGCTGACGTCACGGCGAATGTCTGACGTCACGGAGATGACATCCACCCCTTCTGTGAGCTCGGCAACCAGTGGCAACTGAGAACCGCAGGGTCGGGGCCGGGAAGGGGCAGAGCAGCGGCAGCAGCAGCCGGAGCCATGCACAGGGACCGGCGGGTCCATCCCAGCGCGCAGCGCACCCTCAACTGGGTGAGAGGGCCGAGGCGGGGCGCTGCTGCTCCCTCCCTGTCATCCCTGAGCTCTGCGCTAGGGGTGATCGTGGCTTTCAGCCGGGAAGGGGGTTCACCCTTCCTAATGATGATGAGGAAAAGGTGTCCCCTGCATTCAGAGGGAGTAAAGCCAGCTCTGGCAGTGTGTTTTTTCCACTCTTCCAACAGTGCTGGAGGTCTCTTAGCCCAGGATGATTATCGTCTGGAAAATGCCAGCTGAGGGAACTGGAAGGGTTTAGTCTGGAGAAGAGAAGGCTCAGGGGGTACCTTATAGCTCTCTACACCTACCTGAAAGGGAGCTGTAGTGAGGTGGGAGTCAGTCTTCCAGGTAACAAGTGATAGGACAAGAGGTAACAGCCTCAAGCTGCACCAGGGGAGGTTTAGACTGGATATTGGGAACAATTCTTTCCCCAAAGGGTGCTCAGGCATTGGCACAGGCTGACCAGGGCAGTGCTGGAGTCACCATCCCTGGAAGTGTTCCTGTGTAGACAAGGCCCTCAGTGGTGGCCTTGGCAGTGCTGGGGAACAGTTGAACTGGATAAGCTTAAAGGTCTTTTCCAACCTGGTTGATTCTATGATTCAATGTTTGCCTCAGTTGTTGCTCTCAGAAGTGCCACAGCCCCTGTCAGGTCCCTGGGCTGGAACATCTCAGCATTGCAGGGCACTGTGACCCACGCCTGGCACCGTCCATTCTTCCGTCTCTGAACCCATGGGCCTAATGTTTGGCTGATCTGTTCCTCCCCAGTTCGGTGTTTTCAAACCTACAACAGCGTCAGCAGCATAGGCAAAAGGAAGTGTTATGGCATAGATGGATTATCACTGTATAAACAGTTTTCAGAAGGTTCTTGGAGGAACAGTATTCTTGTCTGGTGACGTTGTAATGTCCTCATTGCAGCGGTCGTGCTGTGTGCTTGGAAGCCCCAGATTTTTTCCAGAGGCCACTAGGTGCTGCTGCAAGCCAAAGAATAAGAAATAAGTGGGAAAAAGCAATTTTGGCCGCATTTCTGATCAGATCTAATTGGGGTTTTGTTGTTGTTTGGGGTTTTTGTTCTAAATGGGTCACAATTGTTGTTATTTTCTAGTTTGCTTATATTGGAGTAGACCAGAATCAAGCCGAGCCAACTACAAGTTCTGCACAAAACCAGGTCCAGAACAAAGCAGCTCCGTACATTGAGGAGAAACTGCCGCTAGCATTCAAAGCTCAGGAGCAGGTGAGTTACTGTGGCAATACAACTTAAAAAACTCCTTTTGCAGGACAGCACTTGCTAAGTAAAGTGTGGTAGTTAGTAAAGCAGTTGTAGCAGAGTGGCAGACTTTGTGCCTCAGGGAGTAAAATGATGGCTGCTTGTGCTAAGGCAGAAACATATTTCATCGTTAGTTCTAATTTGGGGTACTCAAGTCCTGCTGTAGTTCTTGGTTGCCAGCATCAGTTACTTTACTCTTTTAGTAGCTACTCTACCTACTTGAGACATATCTATGTGTCAGAATATATCACAGAATCAGTCATGAGCTATCTCAGCCCAAAGCCTGTGTGTAAAGCCATATAAGACAGTTTAAGTGAAATTTGATGATCTGTTTTGAATTGAATGTTAGCAATTCCGTATAGTCAGGCAAAGGATTACTTTTTTGATCATTAAAAATGCTTAAAAATGAGGAGATATGGGACAGTTTTGGAAACAAAATACAGTATTTTAAAACCTTGAGGATTTAAAGTGTTACAGTTTCATAATCACATTTTTATATCCTTATTTTATCATCACACTGAGCTCTGCTTTACCCACCCACCTTATGCACAGAACATTTTCTATTTCCATTTTCTATGAGCATAGCAATTATATTGAATTCATTTCACAGATTTTGCTGTACCAAAAAGCAGGAAGGACTATTTAAAAGGGAAGCTGGGGGCTAGTGAGAAGGAGAAGATTATATTGTACCATAAGTGTACATTATGTTGATATTATGTATACCTTTCTGTGAAGCATCTGTCCTTAGCCACTCAGAAAGGAGAACCTGGTCACCTGGACCTTTTATCAGCACTAGTAGGACTGTTCATCTGGTTTATATCTTGCATTTACTGGCATGTTACTGTTGAAAGGAATTAGTGGAATTTCTCTCTCTCATAAATCAAGAACTCAGATGAGTTCAGCAATGAGAGTACAAAGATTTGAGCCTTTAAAGGCTAAAATGTGATGTCCCAGGAGCAACCTGTGGAAGTTTGTTTCTGTCACAGTTTTAAGAAGCGCTGATAAAGTGTTGGAAGCTGCATGTGCAGCTGGATGTCTGTGATCTCTTAGTATGAGGGGGTTTGCTGCCTGTGGGATTAGTTTCCTCAGAAACACAGCGCTGTATAAGCTTGTATTACCTCCTTTTTCATACTTCCTTTTGTAAACCATTAGTTAATCTGGGGAATCCTTCCAAGAGATGATATTCAGTATTTGCCACCTTGGTTTTCAGTTTTCCTGCAGAATATAGGCAGTGGCAATAAACACTATTCCTAAAATGATGATTGGTAATTGGAGTCAGATATTTTAGTGAGTGCCACATTTTAGGGACTTAGAAGGCGCTTATTTTTAAACGCATGTATGAGAATGTGTCTGTTGAATTTACTTAACCATAGAACTACAGTCTGGGTGAATCTGGATGAGAAAACAAGTGAACGTGTGGCACATACCTAAAAAAAGGCAGAAAATCTGTCTAAGACAGCAAATGCCCTCAGATATAATTTTGCAGCTGACTCCATGCAGGCAGATTTAGTATTTTGTAATGCTGGATCAGGCCTCCTGTAGCATTTAGCTTCAGAACTGATTCAGGTTCACTTTTGAAACCTATTTTGTTAAATTGCACATTGCACATTGAAACTTGCTCCTCTTTTTGGAGGTGAAAATCATAGTTGGGAGAGGGAAAATGTATTCCACAATGGAAAAAGTAAAAATTGCTAGAGCATTTGCAGTTAAAAACCATAAAGCTCCCAATATGAAGCAACAGAATAGTGCTTGGGGAAGAACAGAGGCAATTTAATAATCCAGAAGAGATTTCAGTGTTTCAGTTTTTAGCTATTTTAATAATATTGCAATGATATGTAGTCCCAGACTGGTTTGGGTCGGAAGGGAGCTTAAAGTTCATCCAGTTGCAACCCCTGCCATGGGCAGGGACACCTTTCACTAGAGCAGGTTGCTCCAAGCCCCTGTGTTCAACCTGGCCTTGAACACTGCCAAGGATGGGGCAGCCACAGCTTCTCTGGGCACCCTGTGCCAGGGCCTCAGCACCTTCACAGGGAGGAACTTCTCCCTTATATCCAACCTAAATCTACCCTCTGTCAGTTCATTCAAAGCCAGTTAAATTACTTTTTAAAGGGTTCTTTTGCAGTTGTCCTTATTTTCTTCTAAAACAGTAGGTTCATTTTGGGAACTGGCTTAACATTATGTTAAAGAATGAGATTATAAATGAGTTATGCAATTAATACCTCCTCCACTTCCCCTGCAACAAGCAGGGTACATGATGTTCAGTACATAAATCATAGACTAATTCAGTTTCAAGGTCCCTTTTGTAGTTCATTTTAATTAGCTTTAGCCTTACTGGTGAATCAAACAGGACGTGCAGTATTTTGCTGCTTGCAGACAGAAGGTCTTTCTTATTTGGGAAGTCACACTTTTATATTAATTGTGTATATATTCAAGTCAAGGGAATGCAAATCCTTCAGATGATCCTGTAAATAAAATAAAATACAAAGGGTCCACATTACCCCTACAGAATTGTGTGCAGTTAAAAATGTAATATGTGAATATAGACCTCAGAGGAGCCTTCCAATCTCTGAAGAGGGGCCTACAGGGATGCTAGAGAGGGACTCTTCATCAGGGACTGTAGTGATAGGACAAAGTGTGATGGGTTCAAACTGAAACAGGGGAAGTTCAGCTTAGATACAAGGAAGTTCTTCCCTGTGAGGGTGCTGAGGCGCTGGCACAGAGTGCCCAGAGAAGCTGTGGCTGCCCCATCCTTGGCAGTGTTCAAGGCCAGGTTGGACACGACTTGGAGCAAGCTGCTCTAGTGGAAGGTGTCCCTGCCCGTGGCAGGGAGTTGCAACTGGATGAGCTTTAAGCTCCCTTCCAAGACAAACCATTCTATGATTCTATGATTTCTGTGTTAGAATATAGGCAGCAGTAATTTTGGCATCTGGCAGAATATAAGAAGTAAGACGCAAATATACTCCAAACCAGGTGTATGAAGGTTGATATTTATTTGCTGTTGTTTCTTCTTTTCAGACTGCATTGAAGAACAATTTCCCATTTTCCTTTCATGACAACAAGCACTGTTTGCGGAATGTAGGAGAATATTTTGATTTTGTAAGTACCAGCACTGAGCAAGATCCAGCAAGTTCAGATCTCTCAGCCTGCCAGAGATGAAACACAGGGTTTTTTTCTCCCCCCTGCATAAACTATAGGTTTGCTAGAAGAGAAAAATGTAAACAGCAAAGAAAACCCCATGTTTCATTAGGATTGGGATGGGACTCCTCTGGGACTGGCAGAGATGGTCTTTGAGGGTGGCAAAACTCAAGGAGAACAACCCCCCTGCCATGATCTGGGTATTTGATAGGCATTTTCTAGGGGTCCTAGCAAATGTTTTTCTTGTCTTAATATGGTTTTCTAGCTGGTGATGCATCCTATTAGTCTGCTAAAAGGGATTGGCTTTGTGATGAACTTTTGTAGGGGGCTCAGTCCCGCTTATTTGGTTCAAGCTCTTTTTTGTCCTAAATTTAAGCAAATTCCATTGGACACCCACAATGTATCTCCAAAATGTATTATTTTCCAATCCCACCTCTATAAAATACCTGTTTAAATATAAGTTGCAGAAGACACAACTTTGAATAGAATTTATATTGGTTTGGGCTTTTCTCTGTGTGTAACAAGTTCATGTTTTTCCACTTTTCTTAGATTGTTGACATATCACAGAATCATAGAATCAGAGTGGTTTGGGTTGGAAGGGAGCTTAAAGCTCATCCAGTTCCAGCCCCTGCCACAGGCAGGGACACCTTCCACTAGAGCAGCTTGCTCCAAGCCCCTGTGTCCAACCTGGCCTTGAACACTGCCAGGGATGGGGCAGCCACAGCTTCTCTGGGCACCCTGTGCCAGTGCCTCAGCACCCTCACAAGGACAACTTCTGCCCAAGAGCTCATCTCAATCTCCCCTCTGACAGGTTAAAGCCATTCTCCTTTGTCCTGTCATTAACAAAAGCAATAGGGCAGTTCACCAGATCACAAGTAGAGGAGGAAGCAGTGAATTGTGATAGTTCGTCTGACTCTGAGCTCTTTTAGACCTGCATTTTTGGTATTCATTATTCAGGGAGTGACCTCCATTTCTGTGCCCTTTGTGCAGTGTCTCATAGCTTTAGAGATACTGATCAACCATAATTCCAAATAAATTTGCTGCAAGCTATGGAGTGTGAAAATCAGTCTGTGTCTCTCCGTGTGTGGACACACAAGGGACAGCTTTGAAGATTCAGATTTCATGGTCTGTCTCAGTTTCTTTATTGCAGTCCAGACATAAAATTATTAACCTGCTTCTTTGGGTTACTCTGCAGATTAATTTAGCTGAGTAGAACTAAATAGCCTGGAGTAGATAGTGTGCTACAGAAATGCAAAGTTGAAGTGGTTTATTAGTACTAAGAGGTGGAAGGTCAACAGATTTCCCATTGAATATATATTCATCCAGGCAAGTCTGACAATCCTATTTTTAACTTGCTAAAGATGAACCCTGAGTTCTGGGAATCACTGTGGTAACAGCTTCCTTAACTTCCCACTGGGGTAGTGACTGTTGCAAGATGAATCTGTGAAACTGTGATTGTAAATCATATGTTTTACATTAATTTGTCTTCCTATTTTTTCCTTAGGGTTTGGGCCGCAGGAAGGTGGAACCAGAGAGACGGCAACAGAACTCCCAGAACTTCCTCCAATGGGCTCATAAGCCAGTCCCCAGCAAAGAAGATGGCTTAACCATTTATCAGACCTCATTTATGAAAGATAAAAGCTCTGAGAGCCCAATTTATAGGCGGTATCCAAAACAGCACACAGAAAAGCAGTGCACTGAGAAACCCATTCTTGAGAAGGAAAAAAACCTGCAGCCAGACAAGTCATCTTAATTATCAACCCACCTTTGTAGCACCAATCTATCATCATCATCAGAGCCTTTACTTGAGATCTAAACTATTTCTTACTCAAATGGATGATGAAATAAACATGCGTGAAGTGAATGTGTTGTGCAGTTGAGAGTTCATTGAAATCAGCACTCGTGTTACTCTGAAGACATACATTACTATAAAAATTGTAATGAAGAGAAAAAGCATGATTGTGCATAGTTTCAGCCATACCTCTGTTAGGAGAACAGAGGTAGTGATTGTACATGGGTTATTTGATACTGGTTGACCCTGATCTTGATACAAAAGCTCGTTCAACTTCCGAATCAGCGGTGGGGCTGTACCTCAAGCAGCTGACAGTATCTGTGTTGAAAGAAGTATATGATGGAACTGGAGCCTTGAGGATTTCCACACTAGGGAGTCAAAACTGTGTGTTCAGAAACCTTTTCTGAAAGGTGTCATGGCTGTGAGGGCAGGTTACTGCCCATGTGAGAAGCTAGATAAAAAAGCTGCACATTAGACTGCTGTGCAAAATAACTGTAATGTTTGGTTATAACACAGCAGTTGCATAAGCAAAGAAAGAAAGGATGTTGTAAACAGTGTGTGCATTCCTGTGTATGACCCTTACAGGGAAGAACTGCCTAAGAGCTCATCTCAGTCTCCCCTCTGGCAGCTTAAAGCCATTCCCCTTGGCCTGCCCCTACATCCCTTGTCCCAAGCCCCTCTCCAGGTTTCCTGCAGCCCCTTTAGGCACTGGAGCTGCTCTCAGGTCTCCCCTTCAGGAGCCTTCTCTCCTCCAGGCTGACCCAGCCCAGCTCTCTCAGCCTGGCTCCGGAGCAGAGCTGCTCCAGCCCTCGCAGCATCTCCATGGCCTCCTCTGGCCTCGCTCCAACAGCTCCACGTCCCTCTTGTGTTGTTGCTGCAGACTGGATCAAGACTGCTAGGAAGGGTCTCCCCAGTGTACAGAGTGTACTCTCTGCACTGCTCTGGGGAGTATGTGAGCACTCACATGTGTGTGTCCGTCATGGCACAAGGGGTAAACCAGCTCAAGCTGACAGTGGAAAGCTCCATGAAGGTTTGTGTTTGAGGTGGTCTGGCTCTGAAATGAACGTAGGATTTTACACTTACATGGCCCTAAGGAAGGGAATTCAGCACCAATCCTGCAAGCACTCTGCTCCCAGAATTCTTACTGCTTTAGGATATGGAAGGCATTAGAGTCAGACCTCCAAATAACATGTTTTCCTTTTCTGGATCATTTCCATTAACATCAATGCAATAATAAACCAAAGCTTGTGTCTCAAAATATACTAGAAATAAACTTGTTGCTATGCAAAATGATGTTGACTAAAATAATTTAAGCATAAGTTTATGGGATAATTTCCTTTGTTTGCAAGATAAATGGAAAAATAAACCCTCAACCCTTAGAATTCCCTACATTGTAAGAGATGCCGTGGAAATGAGTTATGGTAAGAAATGATTTCTGCCTTTCAGTGAACAGATACATCTTTTTGTGTCAGCCTGCACTGGCTGACCTTTTGTGTGCCATCCAGCTAGATTACATTAGACAATATCCCCAAACATGCAGCTATTTTACTAGCACACACTGAAATAATAAACTTCTTTTATGAAGTTCCCCCTATGCAAGTTCTTGGGGGGTGGTGGTGTGGTGTGTGTGCACAATCTGTAGAAATGCAAAACATTAATGAACAATGTAAAAACAGAGAAAAAGCCAAGGAATATAGTGCTGTTTAAAAGAATGAGTCTTTCTCAGCCTGACAACTCCAGAGTCAGAGTTTCCAGAGTTTTAGCCAACAACTTCATCTCCAAACTGATTCAAAACTCAAGTGTGTGCCAATCACATGGTAAGTGAAGTACCCCATGCTGTTTGCCATACTCAAGAGGGCAATCTTGGACCTCCATCAGAAGGAAGAAGCACATTCCTGCTCAGTTAGTAATGTTTATCTGTGGTTTAGCGTTACAACTGGATATGGGGAAAGAAATTGCTATAGTTTGGTATGTCTTAAAACACCAACAGAAAGGTTTCTTTATTTTTCCCTTCACTTTTCCCTTCACTTCCCCCCCCCCCTTTATTTTTCCCTTCACATTTTGACTCAAACATGGATTTTTTTAAAGGAACTCTGGTTTAATACATGTTTACAACTACATTATAATAAACATTCCAGAGAATGAACTATGGAGATCATGAAACCTGTATTCAAACTGAAACCCACTGTGCTGGCTTGAACAGAACAGGTGATTCCCACAGATCTCAGGCTCTAGGTGTGGTTCCTGGGTAAATACCATGAGCTACAACATATTGGATTTTGAAATGAATACTAAACACCCCAGATCAATTCTGGAAAGTCAGAGCTTTGTGTACTTTGGATAGAAACCATCAGGTTTGTTTAATCTTGGGATAATAATGGCTCTGAAGAGAAGACCATACTGAGTGAAAGTAATATGCAATATGGAGGTTTTGCTTCCTTCGGGCTAGAAAGGAGGGGAGAAAGGCTGGTAACTCCCAAAAAGGTTTCCTACCCAGTACTCTCTGCTGGTGGATATTAGGATGAGATGGGTGTAGGTGAGCTCGGCAGAGTGGGCATGCTATGGGTTAACTCAGCTGAGTACTGTTGTGGAGAAGTAGAGGTTATGCCCTACATGGGGCTGGTAAAGATGGACTTTTCGGTGCCTTCTTTTATTAAAACAGAAAAAAACAAACGAGTTTGTTGCAAAATTTCCTTGGACAGTGTCAACAACAACTTGAACGCAGCCAAAACCTCTGCTTTGAGGCTTCGTACCACAGTCTTGCTGAATGAGTAGGTAGTGTTGCTGTCTGGTTTTAAGCTCGAGCCAACATCAATTTCAGGACTGTCTGTACAACTTTGTTAAGTGTATTCCATGTTATTTTATAAGTGCTTCCAGTATGTGAGCTACATTCACAGAACTCAAGCAAAATTGCTTAAAAACAAAGGGCTGGGCAGATGGCTGCAAGTTCCTTTGGTTTAAAGAGTTGCTGAACCCTACAGCAAGCTAAGCCTGGTGATTGATGTGGCTGAGCTGAAGAGTTTTTCCATGCTCTGGTTGAAGACAGCTTGCTTCATGGGTTGCATCACTTCAACTATGTGGGAACATGGCCTTCTGCTGGTGTCTGCATGGTTATGTCCACTTACTTGATGTGTGCTTGCTCTTCCTTCTGCCCTGGTTGCTGATAATTAGATCTGAAGAACTGGTCTCACTCAAAGCTGCTCTCTCTTGGCCTGTGTGGACTCCTGGTAAGCTGGATATCAGCTTTTATAGCTGTTTCATTTATGAAATGTGACCTAGGAAAAGCTTTTAGTAGTCATCTTGACCTTGATAGACCCTATTGACATAGTTATTGATGGTAACAGGTTGGGTTTGGTACAGGTTGAAACGTTACCTTTTGTTTGCTCAGTGTCTGAAGAACCTTAAAGAGATGCTCAAAGCCTTGAAAGGGGAGGGTTGGGTGGAAGGGGGAGTTGTTGAGAGTAGCTCCATCAGTTGCTGCTCTTGGAGCTGGTAATTCAATGGGAATGCAGCAGCGTGATTTCCAAGTCATCTGCTGCTAATCTAATCACTCTGTGTTCATAATCAAATCACTCCATGTAGCTGAGATGTTGTTTCTTATGTGTACTCTCAAGGATAGGCTGAATGGAGTAGCTTGACATAAACGTGGTGAAGATGAGCCCTTTCCCCTCCCTGGGCTCTACAGTTATTCAGTAGCAATGCTGGTGGAGATGTGGCTACATCCGGAACTGGTGCTGCTTTATTTACACTGCTACAGCTCAAGTGTGGATACTGTTGAGCTTCTATGAAAGCTCTTCTACTGGTTTAGCTTTTCCCTGGTTGAGCAGTACTGATGTGATGGTGCTAATGTTGAATTGAGAGTATAGGCCTGTAGCTGACAGAAATGTCGATACAGTGGCCATGCTGGTTGATAAGAAATAACAGTTCTGAAATGAAGTAAAAACTTTGTGTTAGACATCTCTGTTAAATCCCAGCCTGCAGGACTTTTAAAATCATAGCACATGATAGAATCATTCCTTAACCTCTCCCCTGCTGCTGTTGCGTTATCTAAAGAGCAGTAGGGGGCAAGTACAGAGTCCTGGTCCACTTTGGAGTAGGAAAGGGCTACATAGAACTGCCTCACAGAATGGTTTGGGTTGGAAAGGACCTTAGGATCATTCAGTTCCAACCCCCTGCCATGGGCAGGGATGCCTCACACTACACCATGTTGCCCAAGGCTCTGTCCAACCTGGCCTTGAACACCACCAGGGATGGAGCATTTACCAGTTCTTTGGGCACCCTATGCCAGTTCCTCACCACCCTCACAGTAAAGAACTTCTTCCTTATATCTAACCTGAACTTCACCTGTTTCAGTTTGAACCCATCACCCCTTGTCCTATCACTACAGTCCCTGATGAAGAGTCCCTCTCCAGCATCCTTGTAGGCCTCCCCACAGTAATAAAATAACAAGCTGATAAAACATTGTATTTGGAGTATCTAACCAAAGGGAAGTCTATTCACGAGGGAAGGAATCCCAACTGACCTAAATACAGATGTTTGGCAATAGTGGGTGTGAGTGAACCATTAAAGCACCCAGTTTATGGTCTAGGCAGGCAGCTGTGTGGTGTTTATGGGAAGCATGTTACCAGCTCACTCTCATCTGATCATGGTTTGTTATACTTCAGTATATTCACCTGAAAGGGAAATACCTCAAATTATCCTGTCTTTAATGGGGTGTACAGAAAGAAATGTAGTTTGAAATAGGTATGCTTCAACCACATAGAATCAATGAACTGATGCTTGGAGGGGACCTATGGGGCACATCTAGGCCAGCTTCCTGCTCCCAAGGACTATAGGATGGGGTAGTCCTGACTCCTACACTTTGCTGTACCCAGCACTTCTCTCCCTGGGCAGAGATTTGCTATAGAGTATTTAGAGCTTCATTAAGGACTTAGTTACCTGCCAGTGGAGTATTTGAAGAAACTAATGGCTGTGGATATGTTTTTATGATCCTTTACATAATTTGTCTCTCATTCCGTAGAATATTGAAACTGGAAGCATGCTATTTCTGAAATGGAAGTGCTTCTTAAATACCAAATTAACATCCACTCTTTCTGTCTCATTCTCCCCCCCCCGCCAAATAAGTCATGTTTAGACTGTCCAGTGTATTCTAACACCTACAAATGGCAGTGCCTACTGTGCAAAGAGACCAACAGCAGTACCAAGTCTATAAACTCTTGTGGGCTCAGGCTCTATAATACTAACCAGTCATCAGGCCTCAAATGGCATTTTAGGTATGCATTAATGACCCTCAGCCCCAGACCTTCTCGTCTTATTGCTTCATTCATCAATGGCCCAGTGGCACATTGGCAGTGCTCTTTCTCAAGCTGTGCCTCCCCTCAGATGGCAATCAGATGGTAGATGGCTCTATCTGCTTATGGGAAAGTCATAGCCCAATAAATAAAGTGTAATTTCCTGATTCCCCTGGGATGCAGTGATTCTTTTTAACAATGCTTCTTCAGTTGAGTTGAAATTAAAACCCAGCGTGATCAACATATTGGGTAATATTTCAT